CCGCGGACAAAAAGGCGAAAAACGGCAAGTTCCAAACGTCATCCCGGACGGACGGACACGCGGACGCCCCCCGCAGCCTAAGGTCTCCGTCCCGACGACGGAACGACTAAACGTCGTCCGTCTAACGTCGGGACTACGACTACGGACGGCCGCCTCAGCCTAAGGCCTCCGCTAGACTACTACGTAGTCGCTACGGCTACGGAGGGACGGAGGGACAGCGAATCGGCCTAAGGCCTCCGCTTTCCTACTTCGTAGGAGCTACGGCTACAGACTAGAGCGCGCTGTTCGCGCGAGTGGGCCGTAGCTCCGTCGCTGAATGGCGGTACGCCACAGCATAGCGCGTACGCATAGTGTGTACGGTATAGCGCATACGGCATAGCGGCATACGGTATATGCTTGCAGATCGCATATGCTTGCACATCGAATGTGGCATATGCTTGCAGAACACAACTGGCATATGCTTGCAGATCGCATATGCTTGCAGATCGCATATGCTTGCAGATCGCATATGCTTGCAGATCGCATATGCTTGCACATCGAATGTGGCATATGCTTGCAGATCGCATCCGGCATATGCTTGCAGATTGCAAATGCTTGCAGATCGCATATGCTTGCAGATCGCAGATGCTTGCAGATCGCAGATGCTTGCACATCGAATGTGGCATATGCTTGCAGATCGCATCTGGCATATGCTTGCAGATCGCATATGCTTGCAGATCGCATATGCTTGCAGATTGCATATGCTTGCAGATCGCATATGCTTGCAGATCGCATATGCTTGCACATCGAATGTGGCATATGCTTGCAGATCGCATCCGGCATATGCTTGCAGATTGCAAATGCTTGCAGAATGCATATGCTTGCAGATCGCAGATGCTTGCAGATCGCAGATGCTTGCACATCGAATGTGGCATATGCTTGCAGATCGCATCTGGCATATGCTTGCAGATCGCATATGCTTGCAGATCGCATATGCTTGCAGATTGCATATGCTTGCAGATCGCATATGCTTGCAGATCGCATATGCTTGCACATCGAATGTGGCATATGCTTGCAGATCGCATCCGGCATATGCTTGCAGATTGCAAATGCTTGCAGAATGCATATGCTTGCAGATCGCAGATGCTTGCAGATCGCAGATGCTTGCACATCGAATGTGGCATATGCTTGCAGATCGCATCTGGCATATGCTTGCAGTGCATATGCTTGCAGCGTTGATATGTGTGCAGAACGTATGGTGTGCGTTGAAGTTTGGAGGTCGAGGATGTCGGGCTTCGTGCGTTGAAATTGAGCAGTTCAACGTGCATATGCTTGCAGATCGCATATGCTTGCACATCGAATGCAGATCATATGCATAATGCATAATGCAGATTGCATATGCTTGCAGATCGCATAGGCTTGCATATCGCATATGCTTGCACATCGAATGTGGCATATGCTTGCAGATCGCAGCTGGCATATGCTTGCAGATTGCATATGCTTGCAGATCGCACATGCTTGCAGATCGCATATGCTTGCACATCGAATGTGGCATATGCTTGCAGATCGCATCTGGCATATGCTTGCAGATCGCATATGCTTGCAGATCGCATATGCTTGCACATCGAATGTGGCATATGCTTGCAGATCGCATCTGGCATATGCTTGCAGATTGCATATGCTTGCAGATCGCATAGGCTTGCATATCGCATATGCTTGCACATCGAATGTGGCATATGCTTGCAGATCGCAGCTGGCATATGCTTGCAGATTGCATATGCTTGCAGATCGCACATGCTTGCAGATCGCATATGCTTGCACATCGAATGTGGCATATGCTTGCAGATCGCATCTGGCATATGCTTGCAGATCGCATATGCTTGCAGATCGCATATGCTTGCACATCGAATGTGGCATATGCTTGCAGATCGCATCTGGCATATGCTTGCAGATTGCATATGCTTGCAGATCGCACATGCTTGCAGATCGCATATGCTTGCACATCGAATGTGGCATATGCTTGCAGATCGCATCTGGCATATGCTTGCAGTATGCTTGCAGATCGTATATGCTTGCAGATCGCATATGCTTGCACATCAAATGTGGCATATGCTTGCAGATCGCATCTGGCATATGCTTGCAGATTGCATATCCTTGCAGATCGCATATGCTTACAGATCGCATATGCTTGCACATCGAATGTGGCATATGCTTGCAGATCGCATATGCTTGCCAATCGCATATGCTTGCAGATCGCACATGCTTGCAGATCGTATATGCTTGCAGATCGCATATGCTTGCACATCGAATGTGGCATATGCTTGCAGATCGCATCTGGCATATGCTTGCAGATCGCATATGCTTGCACATCGAATGTTGCATATGCTTGCATATCGCATCTGGCATATGCTTGCAGATGGCATATGCTTGCAGATGGCATATGCTTGCAGATGGCATATGCTTGCAGATCGCATATGCTTAGCAGATCGCATATGCTTGCACATCGAATGTGGCATATGCTTGCAGATCGCATCTGGCATATGCTTGCAGATCGCATATGCTTGCAGGTCGCATATGCTTGCAGATCGTATATGCTTGCAGATCGTATATGCTTGCAGATCGCATATGCTTGCAGATCACATATGATTGCACATCGCATGTGGCATATGCTTGCATATGAAGCATTTGTGCATACGTGCATATGTGCGTATGAAGCATATGTGCATATGTGCATATGTGCATAGGAAGCATATGTGCATATGTGCATATGTGCATATGAAGCATACGAAGCATATGAAGCATACGAAGAAAAACAAAGAAAAAAAAGTGCATATGAAGCATATGTGCATATGTGCATATGTGCATATGAAGCATATGAAGCATATGAAGCATATGAAGCATACGAAGCATATGAAGCATACGAAGAAAAAAAAAGAAAAGAAAGCGCGCAAAAAAAAAACGCGCGCGCGCTGGGGGTCGAACTGGCGACGTGGTGGACAGAGACGGACGGAGGGACGGAGGGACTAGAGCGCGCGCGT